ATATTATTGTGGAATATATTCTTGAATTTCTTACACGATTAAAGGTGAGACCAAAAAATATAAGAGAATAATAAAATAAGATAATGAACGTTTTAACAACCGATAATCGTGATGACCCAATTAACATAACAATATGTAATTCCCCTCTAATTTTAATGTGTATGCTGCTTTAGTTAGTTTTACAAAACAATTAGTCTTTATAAAATTTTAAAACATTTATATATGTAAATCTAATTTATATCATTTACAAATTGGCTTACTATCTCATTCAATTTGAAAATATTGACACGAACTGAATAATTTCAATGGTAAAAAAATTATTATTATTACTTCAAATTTTGGGTTCAAGCATTCAATATCAAATGTGTAATAGATATCTTTAAACAAATACTACTTCGTAATTATAATAAAAAAATTGAAATATTGTGACAAAATCGAAAGAAGTGCAGGATCTGTCTTCGTTGTAAAATTTTGAAATGCTATTATTATTCGACAAAAGTCAAGATGACTGATATTACGTTACATTAATACTAGAAGTCATTTCAAATTGATTTTCTGTAAAAGAAAATTAATGACGACAAATTAAGTAGCTCAGTCAGTAAATTAATACAGTTTTTAAAAAAGATTATCATATTTAAAGAAAATATTTTATACAAAAAATATACTTTAAAATTTGTTTAGTAACGAGCATTAGTTGAGTGATAATAGTTTTTGATAAATTATTTTGAATATAAATTTAATTTTTGAGTGCATTATTTTTTCATTTATTTATATAAATATTATATAAAGTATGAAAAGATGAAAATAACATAATAATATTAATTCTTATATAAAAATGATATAGTTTGAAATTTTCAAATGAATTATTTTTTGAATAATTGATAATACTAATTTAATTAAAAAGCTTAATATATAATATAAATTACTATTCAAATATCATGATAGTGTCATGAATTTCTACAATATAGAAATTGAATAAGTGTGAGACGTACTTAAGGCTTTAAATAATTGTGACAGTATCATGTGAGAAAAAATTGTATCATTCAATTGAAGTGGTAAACAGTTTGATATTGTTTAAGCGGGTTTTAAGTTTGAGTTATTGTGTTTTCAAAATTCTCTATTGTTAGACTCGCCCACCAAAACTAAGTATACTATACGAATTGATCCAAATTAACAAAGAGAAATCCTTAAGAATCGAGAGGGAGAAAGAAAAGAAAAAAACTTTTTTATAGTTCATAATCACACTTAAGGTTGTAAAATCATGTAATCGTTCATGTTTCAGTCGGATCCTGGCAGGTCAAGTAAGGTCAATTTAATGGTTCGACTTGGATCAGGTAGGGTCCAGGCCAAATAAGTTCGGGTCATTTTCAGGTTGACTAGACATCAGATTCAGTTTGGGTTCAGGTCCAGTTAATTTCAGTTCGGATCGACGTCAGTTCAGGTCAAAACGGTTCAAGTCCGAAGCAGTTAAATACCAGGTTATTTCAGGTTCAGATGAACTTCAGTCAGATCTTGTTCAGATCAGGTCTTACTGGATACGGATATGATACATGTATATATAAAATAAAATGTACATTACACTTATGCATAAATTAATACACTAATACATTATAAATATATAGTTATTTATGTAATTATATATAAATATAAGTATATATATATATATATTATAAAGACAAAAGAATATAAGTATATAATATAAACTATATAAGTATATAAACTATATAGTACAAAAGTATATATACATATAAAGTATAAATATATATAAACTATTAAAGTATATATATATATAAACTATAGTCTATAAAGTATATATTTTATAGTTTTTATATATATATATATACTTTAATAGTTTATATATATATAGTCTATGAAGTATATAATATAAAATATTAAAGTATATAAATATATAAGTATTAAAGTATACTCTATAAAGTATAAAACTATATAATATATTAAATATAAATATTAAAGTATAATATAATATTAAAGTATATATATATAAATATAACTATTAAAGTGTATATATATATAATATATATATATATATATATATATAAAGTTTTTAGTATAAAGTATATATAAGTATATAAGTATTAAATATAAAGTATATATAACTATATAAGTATAAGTATATTAATATAAAGTATTAATTATTAAATATAAAATATGTAAATATATATATAAATAAATATGTTTAAAGTATTAAATAAAACATTAAAAACATAGGGATCAAATTGTAAGAATTTAAAATATAAAGCTTAAAGTAATACATATTATGGTACTAAATTGAATTATTTACAAACTAAGTCAAACGACTAAAATCCCCAACAAAGTTTTTTTAGGGACACGTGGGCCTAGAGGTCCGAAATTATACAATATTTAAAGGCAAAATCTACCATTTTCTAAAAAAAATCATTTTCTCATTTCACTCTCTCTACATTCGTTTCTCTCAAAATTCTTTGTATTCTCTCTAGAATTCAAAGCCACAAACACCAAAAACCCATAAAAGTTTAAATTTTTTCGATTAAACTCCTATTTTTCATCCATGTTCTTCTTTTTTCATCCCCAAAAGCCTTGTTTGATCCTTAAGAACACAAGAAAACTATCCCTAACATATTTTTTTTATATAAAACTCAAAAATCTTTTTTTTCATATGTTCTTCCTCTTTTCCCCATTTTGATTATGGAAAACAGAAAAGTCACTCACCTTTTTGGGTTTGACTTGATCAAACCCAACCTTTGTTTATCTTCTTTCCCTTTTTTCACATGTTCTTCCTCATTTGATCCTTGGAAACACCAAAATCACTCACCGATTATGTTTTTTAGTTGAAAATTCAAAATCTTTCTCTGTTCATCCATCCATAACCTTAATCCCCAAATCCAAAATCCCCAAATCTTAAATCCCTAAATTCTTAACCCTAAATCCCCAAATCTAAGATTTCCCCCTTTTTTATTCCCAAAATTCTAAATCCCTAACTTGGTTTATCTCATTTTCATTCTCTAACCGAGGCTCTTCCCCTTCCCCGAGATCCCAAACAGTGTTCATCACCTATTCCCTTTCTCTAACGAGACTCTTTCTCTCCTCCTCCTACCTTTTCTGTTCCCCAAAATACAAAATCTCATCACTATACATTATGTTTTCGAAAACCCTCAAACCCCATCAGTGTTCCTTTTTTCTCTAATCGAGACCCCTTATTTTTTTATTCCTAAAAACCCTGAAACCCATCATTTTCTATTATTTTCTCTAACAGTTAATGGTCAACTGTCGGTTAACGATCTACGGTCAACGGTCGGATTAGGTCGGATCAACAGGTTGGGTCGAACATGGTTTGGTCGGATCGACCCATTTTTAAGCAGTCCACCAGGCGGTGGACTTTCTCCACTCTCAGGGGTGGTGTGGGGGCGTTAGGGCCGTAGAGGGTCGAAAAAATTCTGGAAAAATTCTTAAATACGTTTTAAGGGGTTTTGAGACACATACCAAGCTTGGTTCACAACAGTGAACGATAGAGAGCTCGATTTTGAAACGTTGAAAACTTAATCTTTCTCACCCCTTCACACTTTGACAGTAACAGAGACAAAGTGGACACCGGTGGACTCTGGATGATGCAAGGAACACGATGGTGTGAGAGATGTCAAAAACGGAGCAACGATCGGCGACGAAACGACGATAAAGTATTTGTTTCTAAAAGAGTAAAATTTTGGAGAGAAAAAAATTAATAATTTTCCATCATATTATATAAACCCTTAAAAAATAAAATGGCAAAATCATGCCATAGGTCCTCCATCTTTAGTTTCTTTATGAATTTGGATCTAAATTTAATAAAAATTTCAGTTTGGTCCCCAAATTAAATCAAAATTTAATTTAGTTCGTAGAAATTTTTAAGAGAATTTTAGGCCCTATTTTGGGGTGTGACAACTCTCCCTCCTTAAAAGAAATTTCGTCCTTGAAATTTATTTGATGTAAACAATATGAAAATTGAGCCACCATTGACTCCAATGTCTCCCAAGTAGCTTATGAGGGCCCACAGTTACTCCATTGGAATATGCCTATTCTGAAGAACTCTCTTATCTCGATTTAAAATCTAAACGAACTCCTCCTCATAGGACAAATCATGTCTCAACTCTACCTCCTCAACATGAATGATGTGAGCTGGATCTGGATGATATCGCCTCAATATGGATACATGAAAAACATTATGAATACGACTGAGCTTGGGAGGCAAGTCAAGCTGATAAGCAACAGGTCCGACTTTCTTAAGAATACGATACGACCCAATAAATCTCGGGCTCAATTTACCCTTACGTCCAAATCTCAACACTTTCTTCCACGGAGATATCTTGAGAAAAGCTTGATCCCCAACCTCAAACTTGATATCCTTTCATCGTTGATTTGCGTACGATTTATGTCAATCAAATGCCTCTCTAAGGTGATCACGGATCAATCGGACATTATCCTAGTCTCTTGAACTAACTCTGGATCCAAAGTCTTTCTATCATGCAACTTTGTCCAACAGATAGGAGTACGACATCTACGTCCATACAGAGCCTCGTACGGTGCCATACAAATACTTTCATGGTAACTATTATTGTAAGCAAACTCGGCTAAGGACAAGAAATCTTCCCAACTACCACGGAAGTCAATCACACAACCCTGTAATATATCCTCTATCATCTAGATCACTCGCTCAGACTGACCATCAATATGTGTGTTAAAAGCTATATTAAAATTCAAACGAGTACCCAGAGCCTCATGCAAAGCCTTCCAGAACCTGTAAGTGAACCTCGGATCTCGGTCAGATATGATAGACAACAAAACACCATGAAGTTTAATGATCTCATAAATGTACAATCTAGTCAGCTTGTCCAAATAATAATTAACCCGAATAGGGATAAAGTGGGATGACTTAGTGAGTCGATCAATAATCACCCAAACAAAATTCTTTTTGGAAGGAGTCAGAGGAAGACCAGTAACGAAGTCCATCGTAATACGCTCTCATTTCAATTCAGGAATCTTAATTGACTATAACGCTCCTTGAGATTCTTGTACATTTTGTCCCCACCAGGATACATAACGTAAGGACTACTATAAGCCTCCTTAAGAATAGCCCATCTCAACTCATCATCTTTAGGGACGTAGTAATGACCGTGAAAGTAAAAAATACTATCCTGATCCAAAGTATACTTTGAACTTGATCCCTGCTCAACTTATTCAATAATGGGAAGCAATGAGTTATCAAGGAGCTGTTTGACCTTAATCTCTTTGGCCAAAGTGGGTTTAACTTACAACTCTGCTAACAGACTATCGTCATCAAATAAACTCAAGCTGGCAAACAAGGCTCTCAGATCAGATATCACCTTATGGCTCAAGGCGTTAACCAATACATTAGCCTTCCCTAGATGATACTCTATCTTACAATCATAATCCTTTAGAAGCTCCAACCAGTTAATCTGTCTCAAATTCAATTCTTTTTTAGTAAACAAATACTTTCAGACTCTTATGATCGATATAGATATAACACTTTTCTCTGTAGTGGTAGTGTCTCAAGAACTTCAAAGCAAAAACCACGATAGCTAACTCCAAATCATGAGTAGGATAATTACGCTCATGCGACATTAACTGATAACGCATAAGCGACAACCTTCCCATCTTGCATCAAAACACATCCTAATCCAGAGTGAGAAGCATCACTATAGACAAAAAAATCTTTCCCAGACTCAGACTGAATCAACACTGGGGCTTGAGTTAGAACAATCTTCAGTTTCTTTAAGCTAGCTTGTTGGTTCTCAGATCAGACAAATGGAACATTTTTCCTCAATAGTTTTGTTAGAGGAGCTGCAACAATGGAGAACCCCTCAACGAAACAACGGTAGTAACCAGCTAAGCCTAAGAAACTACGTATCTCAGAGACGTTCTTGGGTTGCATCCAGTTCAGAATAGCCTCCACTTTACTCAGATCCACTCGGATACCCTCAGCAGAAATGATATGTCCAAGAAAAGTCACTTCGCTGATCCAGAACTCACACTTTCTCAACTTGGAGTATAACTTATTTTCCTTTAGAGTCTGCAGAATAATCCTTAAATGCTCATCATGTTCTGCTTCAGTTCAAGAATACACCAATATGTCATCAGTAAACACAACCATAAAATGGTCCAGACAGGGTCAAAACACCCGATTCATCAAATCCATAAAAGTAACAAGGGTATTAGTTAACCCAAATTATATCACTGAAAACTCTTAATGCCCATACAGAGTATGAAAAATAGTATTTGGGACATCAAAATCTTTCACCTTGAGTTGGTAATAACCATACCTCAAGTCTATCTTTAAAAAGATAGAAGCCCCTCGAAATTGGTAAAACTGATCATCAATCCTATAATCAATATAGTCTCAATATCCCATCTTTTTTCTTGACAAAGAGAACTGGGGCTCCCCACGGTGATACACTAGGTCGAATAAATCCTCTATCCAACAACTCTTGGAGTTGGACTTTCAGTTCCTTAAGCTCTTTTGGGGCCATATGGTAAGGAGCCATCGAAACTGGGGTGGAACCATAATAGACTTTAATCTCAAACTCAACTTCTCTATCCCGCGGTAATCCGAGTAACTTCTCAGGAAAAAATAAAAAAATTCCTTAACAATCTGGATGCCTTCAATATCAAATCGAGAACTCATAGTATCCAGAATATAAGCAAGAAACGCCTCGGAACCCTTCATGATCATTCTCTCAGCTACCAATACCGACACAACATTCGTCAGGAATCCACGACGTTCCCAGATCATCATAATCTTTTGGTTATCCAGAGTCTACAAAACAACTCTTTTGGTCTCACAATCGAGATTAACTCGATTCTTGTTCAACTAATCCATGCCAAGAATCAAGTCACTCCTCTAGTGGTAACTCTATCAGGTCGGCCAGAAAGATCTCCCTATTGATCTCTATAGGACATCCTCTAAAAATACGATCTAACTCTATGGATTGACCTAAAGGGCTTTGAACTGTCACTGAATTCTCTGTATTCTCAACCGGGATATTAAGACCCTCAGAAATAGAACTACTCCAGCAGCTACCCAAAAACTTCGAGTTGTCGACCGCAGACATATTACCAGAGACTCTAAAAGCTCTCATAAACATACAAAAGATAGGCCTATTAATGGCATCCTCATCCATATCAGTGCCTCGTCCTCAGTGACATGAAGGTCTCTTGTAGGAGTAATCAGGTCATCTCTAGAAATAGACGATCTATATGCGGGACAAAAGGATCTCGAGGTGATATAGGATCGTCTATCATAACAAAAGATCAAGCCACTCGCCCTCGACCACTACCACAGCCTGGCCTACAACCTCTAGCAGCACTCATCGGATAAATCTACAAGGCCCTACAGAAATAATTTAAAACTAAGTTAGACTAGCATCATGAACCTCAAATATATTTAAATTCATAAAATAATGTGACATGATTTTTTTATAAAAAATGTATTGAAAATCCAAATTTTTGGGCTCATCTACAGTCCAAGTTTTTAAAATCGAAAGCTCTGATAACACCAAGTGTAACCCCCTAGACCCGACCTGGACGTTAGGCCCAAATCTAGGTGGTCACATGTCACATTCAAAAATTATTTTCATATTTAAAACAAAAAATCCATAAGAAAGATTCATATGATAAACATATATGTATACATATGTCAGAAAACTGTATAAAGCATATACATATCAAAATACTATAGAAAATCATATAAAACATTTACAGAACAAAATACCGGTAATACAGATATATCAAGACAGTAGCAAAACACATGTCACCAAAATATAACAAAAAAGTATATAGAAATATAGAGTGGTACAAAATTAGGAGAAATCGGTTCTCATGAGCCAAGTCTACTAGCATAGTCTACTATTATCTCAAAAGGTTAAAATTTACATAATAAGCTAAAAAGCTCAGTGTGCTCATTATGTGTATAAAAACATACAGATAAAATATTTCAGTAAAATCTATTTATCAAACATGTCTTAAAAACATGAACACTACCCCGTCCGATAACCAGAATGTATAGGTTCCCAGAACCATACACCCACCCATCTATACACCCAGTAAGGACTTACTCTGTGCACAAAGCAAAGGAGCCTGCAATAAGGTCTTATCATGTGCACAAAGAAAAGGAGCTTGCAGTAAGGACTTGCCCTGAGTACAAAGCCGAGGAACTTGCGGTAAGGACTTATCCTGAGCACAAAGCAAAGGAGCCTGTAGTATGGACTTACCCTGAGAACAAAGCCGAGTCGCATTTGGAAAACTGTAAGGTCTTACAAATCATAGACTAGGCCTAAGACACTTCCTCCAATAAAACCCCCAATTACATAAATAACATGTATGTAGTCGAATGAAAATGGTAGTTTAATCCATTAAAACATGAAAATATTTTATTTTCAAAAATCTTATACGAAAATACGGTAATCCATAGATCATATCAGAAATATACAGTAAATCAGATATTAGATAAACCATTTTCAGAAAATCAGGTATTGTGTCGTAAAAATATTCAATATTATCATAAATCTCAAATAGTTTAGACAGATATTTGAAAACAGTAATGTAACACCAATAGGAAATACACTTGTATCGATCTGAGTAGTCTGACAGGAAAACCTACTACTGATTTTGTCGTCCACGATCAACGCAGTGCTAGATCCTACGAAACAAAAAATCCATATCGGAATCCTAATATGAATAATATTAACCTTTATTTAAATAATTTATGGAAATGTACTGGTAACTCTCGTAAAACGCGAATTGAACGGGTCTGGCGAATGGAAAACATTGGACCTAACTGACCCTCGATCAGGTGAAACACGAGTACCTTCATAAAAATATCTTCTTGGATCAATTTCATAACCAAATCTCAAATAAATAAGCAAAAATGCTAAAAATACTAAGCATTTTTGGGTTAATGAGCTAGATATGGGGCTTTCGGGTCAGAATTTGGCAAAACAAACTTCGAAATCTGACTCAGGATGTCAAAAATATATAAAGTATGACTTTGCAAAAATTTTAACTTTTTGGTCAAAGTCAACAGTCAACTGTTGATCAACGGTTAACGGTCAACTGTCGATCAACGGTCAACAGTTAGACTGGGTCAGATCGGGTCGGGAAGGCGGGTCGGATCAGTAGGTTGGGCCAGACACGGTTCGGGTCGGATCGACCCATTTCTATGCAGTCCACCAGGAGGTGGACTTTCTCCACTCTCAGGGGTGGCGCGTGGGGGCGTGTTAGGGCTGTAGAGGGTAGTAAAAATTTCAGAGAACATCCTAAATGTGTTTTAAAGAATTTTGAAACACTTACCAAGCTCGGTTCACAATGGTGAATGGTAGAGAGCTCGATTTTGATCATCGAAAACTTAATCTTTCTTACCCCTCCACATTCCGATGGAAATAGAGACAAAGTGAACACCGGTGAACTCGGGATGACGCAAGGAACACGATGGTGTGGAAGGTATCGAAAATGAAGCAACGATCGGTGACGAAACGATGATAAAAGATTTGTTTCTAAAAGAGTAAAATTTTGGAGAGAAAAAATTAATAATTTTCCCCATATATTTAGGGGTTATATAAACCCTTAACAAATGGTTAAATTATTCCATAGGTACTCTATCTTTAGTTGCTTTCTGAATTTGGATCCAAATTTAATCAAAATTTCACTTTGGTCCCGAATAAAATCAAAATTTAATTTAGTCATTGAGAAAATTTTAAGAGAATTTTAGGCCCTATTTTAGGGTGTGATAGCATTATCATAAGTCTATTACATGCCAACTAATAATATCCAAAGTAGACAATTGTTTTACAATTACTGATGAGGCGACCCTTGATTGGCGATGTCAATTGCACTCCTTACTCCGCTCACTAAAACTACGCGTGAAATCAACACACACTAAGTATTTACTTAGTGAGACAATACTAATAATGAGGTGACATCAATACATAAGTATATCATAGTTATCAAAATATGAATCAATTATTGTAACTCATTATAAGGTGGGTTGCACACTTAGTGTCGATACGCTCATTCATAAACTTATTATGAATTTTGTGGGTTGCACACTTAATGTCGATACGGTTGTTCATAAACTTATTATGAATTTCGTGGGTTGTACACTTAGTGTCAATACGGTTGTTCATAAACTTATTATGAATTTCGTGGGTTGCACACTTAGTGTCGATACGGTCGTTCATAAACTTATTATGAATTATGTGGGTTGCACACTTAGTGCAGATGCGGTAATTCATAAACTTATTATGAATTATGTGGGTTGCACACTTAGTGCAGATACGGTCGTTCATAAACTTATTATGAATTTTGTGGGTTACCCATACGATCGTTCATAAACTTATTATGAATTTCGTGGGTTGCACACTTAGTGCTGATACGGTCGTTCATAAACTTATTATGAATTATGTGGGTTGCATACGTAGTGCTGATACGGTCGTTCATAAACTTATTATGAATTTCGTGGGTTGCACACTTAGTGCCGATATGGTTGTTCATAAACTTATTATGAATTCCGTGGGTTGCAAACCTAGTGCCGATACGGTTGTTCATAAACTTATTATGAATTTTGTAGGTTGCACAATTAGTGCCGATACATAAACGATGCAACCTATGCATTAACCAACATACACTTGTAACTCTCAATGTACATAATAAATGCACTCACCTTATTTGCTTATTATGCCTCGATGTAGTCCGACTACTCTACGACTTTATCCTTGCCTTTTTATTTGCTTGACTCGGGAGCTTGATTTCGATCTACACAAGCATTCATAGTCACACATACAAATATGATGTTAGTATACTTACTAACATTTATCTAAAGTACTAATACTCAAAGGTACTATTAAATTTTGGATTCTATTAAAATTCATCCTAACATAAAATTTCTGACTGAATAGTATCGATACCCCTCCTATGGTATCGATACTTCCCTACTATGGTACTGATACTCCTTTCAGTATCGATATCATTTTTGCATTATGGAATCTACTTTTCAATAACAGTATCGATATCGTTTTTACATTATGGAATCTACTTTTCAATAACAGTATCGATACCTTCCTCTTGGTATCGATACCCTGTAGTATCTGTAGTATCGGTATTATTCTTCCAGTCCTGATACCTTTACCCAGATTTTACATATTTCACTTTGCTTTTTACCACATTTTCGCCTACATCTCTTACTTTTATCCCCAACCATACAATTAAACTCATAATTACTTAATTCAACTAACTTACATCCATAAATCTTCTCATAACATCTAAAATCTCCAAAGAACACTCAAAACTAAGAATCACACCAAAATTTCAAACTTGTTTTTAATCACTTCTAAGGCTCCAAACCTCTTATTCACGTCTTTGACAAGTCAAAAATGCCTTTAAACTTCCATACTGACCATATTTCATTAAATCATTTAAAAACACATTTTGATAAATCTCATATAAAACCTTAATCTCTTAGTTTTAATCCTCCTTGAACTTTCCTTAAACCTCTATATCACTTAAGGTTTCAAAACTAAAAGAAAAACCAACATTGAAGGAACCTTACATTAGCTCTGGAGGGCACAACACGAAGAATAAAAAGAAGAAGAAGAAGAAGAAGAATGAGAGTAGAGACGATTTCCCTGACTTAACATCTTTTTTCCTTCTTTAACCCTCAATAAAATGAATATTATAATCATTTCCTTCTAAAAAGACCATAATGCCCCTTTATTTCTTCCATTCTTAGTAATCAATCTTAAACACAATTTCTTAAATAAATCCTTGTACTTTTCAATTTATTCAATTTTATCACCCAATTTTTAAATCCTTTCACTATGGTCACCGACCCGATATTTGGGGTATTACAATTATCCCCTTAAGATAATTCGTCCTTGAATTTTAAGAAGTACCTGATGCGAAAAGGTGTGGAAACTACTTCCTTATGTCCTCATCTCTTTCCCAGGTAGCTTCCTTGACTTTATGATTTTGCCATAGCACTTTAACTAGCGGAATCTTCTTGCTACGTAGTTCTTTGTTTTCTCGTGCCAAGATCTGCACTAGTTCTTCCTCGTAAGTCAAATTTGGTCGGATCTCTATTTCCTACGTTGTGATGATATGCAATGGATCTGGACGATATTTTTTGAGC